AGTAAGTCCCAAAGTAAGCACAAATAGTACCCAGTGTCCTAGATGTTATTGACACCTCAAGATGAGAGTGGAGTCTCAAACCTTGGTTCAGGAGTGATTTTGAACTATAAAAGTAGAAACCAAAACCTGGTTTAATGGGAAGAATGGACATGATTATTGACATCACTTATCTAAGACAAATCTTTGAAAAATAAAATTAAGCAGTATGCAGAGAGTGAGAGACCTTGGAATACATAACAGTAAATGTAATGTCTCCATTAAATCCCTCCCCTCAGAGCTCAGGGAACCCCATGGAAGAGGAGGTATAAGAGCCAAAAGGGATGGAGGACACTAAGGGAACAGGCCCTCTGAATCAACATGATCAGTGCTCACATGAACTCACAAAGACTAAGGCAGCAAGCATGGGCCTGCCGGGGCGAGAGGGGGGTGCTGCACCAGGTCCTCTGTGCTTATTTTATGGTTTCTAGTTTATGGGATTACTGAGTGTGTGAATGAGTGGGTCTCTGATTCTTGTGCCAGCTCTTGGACTCTTTTCCTTCTGTTTGCTTGTCCTATCCAATTCCAATGAGATAGTTTTTATTTTCTCTTATTATATTTTATTGTTATTTGTTATTATTGTCTCTTTTAGAATCCTGTTCTCTTCTAATGAGAGACAGAAAGGGAGTGGATCCAGATGGAGGGGAAGTGGAGAGGAGTTGAAAGGAGAAGAGGGAGGGAAAACAACAATCAGGACGTAGTGTGTGTGAAAAAAAATCTATTCCAATAAAAGAAATGATTAAAGACAGGGAAGGAAGGAAGGAAGGAAGGAAGGAAGGAAGGAAGGAAGGAAGGAAGGAAGGAAGGAAGGAAGGAAGGAAGGAAGGAAGGAAGGATGGGAGGGAGGGAGGAAGCAGGTTTTTGTGTTTGGAAGGTAAGCTCTCTATTATGTTCTTTTTGATGCTGCAGAATAATTACCTCATCCAGGTACCATTAGTTTTCAGCTTACTAGAACAATAGCTCATGTTGACTGATCTGCAACTCAAGGCCCCTAACACTCATAATCATTTATATACATTTTTCATCTGTTTAATCTTCATAGTGACCCTTTATGGTAATTGCTATTATTGAACTCATTTTGCAGATGAGGAAACCAAAGCATGGAGAGGTTCACTAATTTAGCCAAGATGGTATACTGAGTAGGATGTGAAGGCAGAATTCAAACAGCTAGACTGGCTCATTCGGGACCCAGCACAAGCCCTCCACCTTCAGTAGCATCAGCTTTTGATCAGAGGATCTTTCTTCCAGATCTTGCTTTGCTGAGTACCACTTCATCCTTCCAGTGATTGCAGATATGGAAGGCAGAGGCATTAGAAGGCTCCCAAAAGCCCCAGTGTTCTGTAGTCATGACACTCTGCTGGATTGTCATGTACTGGACTTCTGTTGTCTGTGATCTTTATTAAACCTCACAGGCTACAGCCCCTGACACTGGAGACTAGTTAAGAACTAGAGTGATGATGATGGGCAAGGTTAGAGGACCCAGGAGACTTAGGCAATGCCAGATTATTGTGGTAGGGGAATAACATTTGATGTTGGTCCTTGTGTCCCTAACAATAAGTCTCACTGATCAAGTGTGACCAGGCTCTCAGGCCACTTTTCCTACATACTCCTATGAGGAAAAATGCTTCTTGGCAGCAATATTCCATCATGTCTCTTTCCCTATCTTTGATAACACCACCTACTATATTACAGCTGATGAGATGACCTGAGTCAAGGTATCCCTATACAGTATCTCCAGAATGCGTTAACACAGTTACTCCATGGTACTGTGACAAGACTCTGGGTCAGTCTGTCTTTTTCCTCTGCCATCTTTAGCATCATGGCTCATTGACTTGGTGGCTTTCCTTACATCTGAAGGTCTCAAGTATACTGTCACCCACAAACAGGGCAGTCTCCACTAGTTGCTGTGTTTAAGAAGAACAAACTCCTTTTCAGAAGCTGCCTATCAAACATCCCTCACCTACGTTGACTGTAACTGAGTAGCATGCTCACTCTCAAGCACTGTAAAAAACAAACTTATCTTTCACCAAAGTAATAGAAAGAAGGTGGGGAAAACCCTCAGATCCCTAAATGCAAAGAAGAATTTGGAGTTGAGTGAAAGTTGGCAGTGCATGAGTTTTGCATGTGCAGCCACAATGTCTGATAAAACAGCACCTGCTGGTGTATTGACTTTCACCTTATCGTGGATCATTCCATCAGTTACAGAAACTGAGATCTAAGGATACAGGACCTGAGAGAACAGGCTTAGAGGAGAAGAGAGAAGCAAGCTCCAGGAAAGGCTGGAAGTGTGTGCTGTGTCATGCTGTGGAGATGGAGGCACACAGGGAAGAACCAAAGGCTGGCATGAAAATGTTTCCATGTTCAAAGCAATGTGTAGGCCATCCCACATGTTATTCTATTAATCCTTATAAAATCCTTCTCAGTTACACACACACACACACACACACACACACTTCTCCTATTTCAGGAAAAAGAGGGGGGAGTGGAGGGAGGGAAGGGAAGGGAAGGGAAAGGAAGGGAAGGGGAGGGGAGGGAAGGGAAG